GATAGATAGATAGATAGATAGATAGATAGATAGATAGATAGATAGATAGATAGATAGATAGATAGATAGATAGAAAATGCATCGAGCAGATATTTTACGTCTCTGATCTTTACTGCTGTGAGGAATGTTAGGGTTAAAAGCCGAGTGGAACAACCTCCTGCAAACTTCATTAGTGATGGTTTGCTGCCTATGCTACAACAGTTTGTGAACACATCAGGGGGCTTCTCAGTTTCTGAGGACATGACTCGAGGTTCACCTCTGCCCTTTTCTGTTTTCTCTTTCTTGTTTTTTTGGGTTTGTTTGTTTCTTTTTTTAACCTTCCAGCAGCTTTAGGGTTACATAATATCCACTGAGTGCCAATACTGCATGTAAAAAGAATTATATTTTGGCCCTGGACATGTCTTTAAATGATGAGAATTGAATTTTTAGGGCAAGGAATAATAGTAATGAAAACCGGCTTTTGCACCACGCTGTAGCATAAAAAAGCTTCACATGGAGAAACAGGGTGTACCTCTGAATTAGAATTCCCATAATTCGACATGGACCGGCCCCTGCTTAGGGCAGAGCTTCTGAAACCTTCTAGAGTCGAGTCAATTGCAGTCGTAAAGCTCGAGTTGATCTGGGAGTTGATCACTTGTACAGTTGTCTATGAAGCTTTGCCACCAGAGAGGAAATTCACTTTCATAGTAAAAAGACCATTTCATTGTATACTGTGTTATTTCAAAATATATGCTGAGGACAGTTTACTTGAAGCCTGACTGTGTCACATCCTTACATATGTAACATCGAAAGCCTAAAATGCTTCTTGTTACCTCCTAAAGACCGGATAAAAAGATGGATGTAGCTTCCAGAAAAGTCAAGCCGATGTCTAAGTGCCTCATCTGCTGGCAGTAAAATATATCTACATCTAAAACCCTTGCTGTCTGACCTCAGTAAACACTTCACGGACAGTTTTATGGGCTCAGTCCTTAGCTTCTTGTCCCATTAAATAAACTGTGAAGTACATTTTGTCCCTCAAGCTTCCCTGGCTTCAACAGCCAGGGATCAGACCCCCAGGGCAGGCCCCATGGGCTGAGGCCTCTTCTACCACAGACTCTCCTTCAGGCTCCCTCCACAGGCCTGGCTCTGGGATCAATCCCAGTAACCCTATGACCAAAAGGACTGGTCCTCTGGTTTTCTTTTTTTCAGAGGGATCACCTGAACACCTAGGATGTCTCCAGGGTGATCTGGGTGTGTCCTTCCAAGCGGAGGACTGTGATAGACCCAGGATGATACAGCTGATGTCCTTGTGTTGTTCGTGGATCAACATTGCATCTGACCAAGTTCATTGTTATTTTGTCGTAGCTTTACAACTTTACAAACAATCCTGCTGATGGCCATTTAGGAAAAAAAAAAACAAGAAGGGATTGGTTAGGGTTTGGGGTTGGTTGTGATTGTGGTTAAGATTAGGGTTACTGGGCTACAGTTTGGGTTACGGTTATGGTTTTGTGTGTGATGTGATGGTGTCTCCACCTGCCACCAGACCTGGATAAGATAGATGGATTTCATGGTCATTATTAGAGTCAGAACATGCAGATCCACTTGTGCATTAAGAGGAGACAAAATCAGCTTTACATTCAATGGCCAGCAGGGGTGACTCTTCTGGTTGAAGAAAAACTGACAAAGAGAATAGACAACATACGAATGGCACAGACACGACACAGACACCATGTTTCTCCTGATTTTATTGAAAGATATTAATTTGCTTTCATTTCAGTGTAAAAATCATCCATGTTCTTTCACATAATGCTTTATTCACATTAGAATTTCAGATTAAGAGTCAAATTAATTAACATTTTCTGCTGTTTCCTTCATGAAAATAAGAATTGGTGAACTAAATAAAAACCACTTGCTCCTGGTAACAACTACTGATGAGGAACGAAAGCTGTCCTAAGGGCACGCTGCAGCCCCTGACCGTGGATCGCCACACAGTGTTGCACGGATGCAGATGTTCACAGACACATAAATAAATAGGTTTCAAAGGTCCAGGTTGGGTGTGAAGCTTTTGCTGTGGTATTTACAGAGTCCTCGGGTGATGTCAAATGTCGAAAGCACCATGTTGCTCTAATAGAAAGGCTCTCCCTTGGCAAAACATCAAACATCATCAAACTGCCCCTCGTCTTAGAAAGGAATGGGAAGTCCGATCGTTTCGGCAGTGCAGCGCGGCGCTCTACTCAGCTTTCTTGACCTTCCTCTTGCGAGCACCTTCGCTCAGATCCTCCTTGGTCTTGAGAGGTGAAGATGGAGCACCTGCAGGAGGAGGATGATGGTGGTCCTCCTCACCACCAGCCAGAGGAGAGCCGAACAGCAGGTGGCAGATCCAGGACTCAATGAGAGCAAAGGGGGAGCCGTGAGAGTGCCGGGCGGTCATCACCACCTGAGAGGAGAGAACAGTCTGATGAAATTCTGTTCAGTGTTCCCCCGGTGTTTCCACTCTTCAGTAATCTATGTTGTTTATTTAA